TGTCAGATGAGGATTGTTAGATTTTAGTAGGATCCCTCGAGCGTTTTCCAATCCCCCCCTCCACACTTGCACCGCTTCTAAAAATTTAACTGACTTTTATGTCCGGTGCTTAGATAGGAAAACGTGAAAGTAGGAGGGAAAAATCTAGTGTTTGCACCTATTTTAAGTATGCGTTTCGGCTCCATTAAATGAGTAATTAGGCTATTTTATCGAAAACATGATTCCTGCATAAAGAAAAACTTAATCTTGGTGAAGAACTGACGACAGCTTTCCTGTAAAAGAGAATGACTATTCAGACGGAGACAGATGGTCCAATGTCTACAGATAAGAAACCAGTTTTAGATAACGATAGCACTTTACTCTGATTACCAATCCCAATTATATTTTAAAAAAATCGTTTTCGGCCTCTCTCTGTCGGTTTTGACTTAAACCATTTTTTCATACCTCCGAAATTCTCCAAAATCTCGTAATTATCAATGGAGAAAAAAAACAACAACAAATGTAGTAATTTTCCGCTTCTTTTCGGCAATTTAATAGGTTAGATATACCTTTAAAGGATCACAGAGAAAGAGACTATCCATGACCTTTAAATAATTCGGCATTGTAAAGATCCAGAAAAGTTTTTGGCCTCTTTTTTCCCATGTTGGGTGGACCACAAACATGTTTACGAACCGATCATAAACAAGTAATTGTAAGTCCGAGATGACCCACATTTTGACCTTAAAACTTGTCACGCTAAAAAAATAAATAAATAAATAAGAGATTTATGATTATTTTTCCTCCGAAATCATTTATCTTTCTTGCTGAATTTTGCAACACGACAATGTCATTAATTTCATTATGATTCAAGTTACGAGCTGCTTCTAATGCACACATAAACTCATTGACATAAGGTTTCGGGTTCGAATCCTAAGCGTATCCTTACAAATTTTTTTCGTAATTAGTTCCGGGTTGAAGTATCGTTCTTCATCCCTCAAGCGCTGATCTACTCCATCGAAGATCAGTCCATCCGTAATGAGTAAAATCAGTCTAGTTTAACGCACAGTACCATTACGGGCCACATGCCATGAAATTTTGGAATTTAAAAAAAAAAAAAAAAAAATGCCTTAATGCCTTAAACTAAAAATTCCCAATTGGAGTAACGATAGTAAAAAATAACGTTTACGGTTTATTCCCAACATGAAAAGCTAGTAGAGTACATAAGCATTTTGCTTCAACTCTATCCACCATTTTATTTCACTTGGCGATTTTAGTTCTGACGGGATTTGCTCTTGCTTGACTGAAGAGAATTCTCTAGTGGTTTTACAGCGTCTCTGTGCGTGAAGTGTTTCCATTCAGTTTTGCCCAAGAACGGGAAGCAATGCTGAATAGAATAAGGCAATAGATGCTACCAGTCCCCTATGTTACTATGGCAACCCGAGAGGGAATTGTATTGTCCGAGTTGTCTAATGCGACAGATGGGAAAGAAATGTGGATGAGAACGAAAAAAAGGAACGCACTTTTTTTTTTCTATCACGCACTGTTGAACTTTCCTTTTATTCCTTTCCCGATACTACCTGTTGATATACAACTATACCTGTAAAAAAGATGGAGGATCAATGAAAACGGTGATAGCCACGATAAAATCCCCCAGATTTTATCTTTCATTTAGTATTTTTTACAGTGTATTTATCTCATAAATTTCAGCAGATGTAACGTCTGATATTTATCTTCAATGCTGTGTATTTTTCAGGGGATTTTTTTATTAATAACTACATTTAAATCCTTGACGTGGCGGATGTCCAACTTTTCACCATTTTAACTGTTAAGAGCGAGCAAAACTACGTATCGTAGCGACACCTAATGTTAAAAAAAAAAAATATATTAATTAACGTCATATTTCAAGAAACGTTATTACTGTACTAAGCGGTGCTGAATTGAGCTGGTTTTAAACGAAGAGAGGTTCAAAAATTGATAAAATTTATCAATTTGCAGCTAAGATACGTGATGAGGATACTCGCAGCAATATCTAGAAGTATATATAAATTGTTATAACTCAAATATTTAGATATTTTTGCTAATGGGATTATAAATTTATCAATGTGCAAAGTATGAATTAAGTGTCAGTCAAGTAACAAATCGTCTATTGTGTACAATAAAGCATCTTCATTAAAGTAATCGTCATTGAATCTAAATTAATGAAAATTAATGTATTATATTTTCTTCTGAATATTTTAAATAGAAAAAAAAAAGCGGCCGCGTATATGCAAATCTATTCTGTTCGCACGTATCAATAGCATTCTTGTATGAACTTTCACCTCTTGGACGAATCTCTTCGGTAGTAATCATGGAGAAGACGAAATTTACCAATTTGTAATCATCCCATTGAGAGTGGTCAACCGCTTATTTAGTAATAAATTTTTACATTTGTAAGAGAACCGAAGCAGACAAGATGAAAGTAATTGTCATTGGGGGATTGTAAATCTTTATATTTTGGGATATTTTAACAGGNAGCGGTAAATATTTATTATATAAAAAAAAATTTTTCAATATGTTTCAATATATTTTAATATGTTTGAACGGTTAGATATTTTCAATATGTCTGAAACCAGGAATTTCTTCAATATGCTTGAAACGTACAAGAAATTATTATGTTTAAAATATAGAAAATTTTTTACTTATAAAAGCGTGAAACGTGAAAATTCTTAATATTCTTAAAGGTATTTTTTAAAATACAGTTTACAATTTTGAACATAAAAAGCTTTACAGTTAAATTATAAGACGTAATATATACACCCCTCCTCCTCTATATACAATCCTCATTGAAGATCAATTGAACTTTGCGCTTAATTAGCATAAATTTTAATTAAAAAAATAAGATAATGACAATAAAGATGGAATGGAACCGTATTAAGACCTTTAAATTTGCATTAGCATTAAGGAATAGGACAACAAACTTTAATTTATTCGTACTGACGAACGTGACATGAACTTTTACATTAATATTATTTTAATTGCATTAAGAAAACATTGCAATGTAACAAAGCTTAATGCAATTATCTCTCATAACCGAATTATTATACGTCATTAGAAATTTTTTTTTTTTTTTAATCCCTCCTTTTGGAAGAGTGAAGAACTACTAATGTATTTATAATTACTAATACATTGAGGGAGAAGTGAGGGGAATCTAGCTTGATTAAGAAGATTAAATTAAAGCAAAAACCGTCTTTACGTTGATCCATTGCCTGACTAGGTAGTTGTAGTAGTAGTAAAGTGGTATAAGATTCTACCTAGGGACTAAAGTAGCACACCTGTATGGTAGTTCTAATGATAGAGCCAGCAGCAACGCCCGTTCGGAGCCTCAAATACAAAACACGTTTTCTGATAATCTCTAACGAAAATTTCAGTCAAATGCGATCTCTTTTAAACCTATACTAATATGTTATTTCAATGGAATTTTATACTAGGCGATATCTCTTAATTAGAATTAATTAGATAATTAATTACAATTAAGCAAGAGGGGGAAGAGAGGAGAGAGAGGAGAGAGAGGGAGAGAGAGAGAGAAAAGAGAGATCTTCGGCTTCTGTTTTCTAAATGAAGAATAGTGGAGATTTTTGACAAATTCGTAAGTAAGCTTGCTAGTGAATAGAGGAAATCCTGATTAGTTTAATCTTTTAAAAAATTCAGAAATTGTAGCTGCTGCCGTTTCGAAGAAGAAAGAAGACCGGATATGAAGATAAAATAAGAATATAAAAAATAAAATAAAATAATCCTTGGAGGGGGGATGAAAATTTTCTCTTCAAATTTCAGCTCAACTTATTTTAATTCTTACAATTTTTTTTTTTAAAAATTAATTAATTTTTATTTTAATTTTTAAAATTAAATTTGTTAAACTTGTAATTATAAAATTATAAACATTGTACACATCTAAAAATTGAATTTTAATAATTAAATATATAGTAGTNGCATTTTAATTTACTGTATATTTAATTTGTATTCGTTACTCCTTAGTCTACTGTATTGTTATCATACATGCTGTATACGTATAGGACTATATAGAATAACAATACAGTGTAGTCGTATATAATTAAGGAATTCCATAATTTAATATGTAATAATAATATTTATAATTATTTAATTAAAAGTTTTATTAATTATTAATTAGGTTATAATTTTAACAGGTGTATACAAGTCGACCGCCCCTATAACACTGTTGATTTTTCCGTTTTATATGATTCCGTGTTGTACGAGTCACTTAGATTTTACAAATACGTGTGCCGTTCACAGCCCGGCACACGTATTTGTAAAATCTAAGTGACTCGTACAACACGGAATCATATAAAACGGAAAAATCAACAGTGTTATAGGGGCGGTCGACTTGTATACACCTGTTAAAATTATAACCTAATTAATAATTAATAAAACTTTTAATTAAATAATTATAAATATTATTATTACATATTAAATTATGGAATTCCTTAATTATATACGACTACACTGTATTGTTATTCTATATAGTCCTATACGTATACAGCATGTATGATAACAATACAGTAGACTAAGGAGTAACGAATACAAATTAAATATACAGTAAATTAAAATGCAATATACTATTTAATTTTAATTTTATTTAATTGTTTCCTTTCAAAATGGGGGTAAAAGTCTTTAAAACATTCCCCGTGTGTATAGCCTTGTGTTATATACACAGAAATACACGCTACATCAATAATAGAATATAAAATATAATTAAAAAAGGAAAAAGAAAAGCATAGAAAAATTTAAAAATTTATTTATTTTATAATAAAATAATTTATACATTTAATCTCTTTAAAAATAAATCGTTTAATGTAGAATGTATACAACATAATTGAATCGAATAGGTTAGATAAGAAAACGGGATGTCTTCGTCATTCATTTCCTGGACCTTTCCATTCTATCCATCTTTTCAATTTTATGAATCATGTACATCTTCCTGTTTATTATTTTTATTTACTTACATTTGTCGGCTCCGTTTTCTACCAAACAAATCGATATTTTTGTTACCGGTTTCACTAAAAGAACGTATAGAAAGGTAAAGTATATATATATATATATAGGACATAAACAATACTTAGCAGCAAAATAAATAAATGGATAAAATATAATCTACTACAATTTAATATTCCACTTTTTAAATATGAATAACTCTGCCTTCTTATCTAGATTTGTTACGTCCGTTCGTACACAGTCAAGGAGAAATTAAGTTAAGTAAGTAGGAACGGGGGGCATGTTGACGTTACGGAGATGTTGATTTCGTAATATTAAAAATAAAATATTTTAATTTTTAATTTTACATATTTGGAATTTCGATCGTATTTTTCTTCACCAGTGTGTGATGAAGGTCGAGAGATTATTCACCTTCATCCTGATAACGTTCTTGAATATACGGTGACCGGATACAGATGGACAAACAGGAACATCCGGACCTGCGAAGGAGGGATGCCAAGAAGAAAAAATAAAAAAATAAAATAAAAAAAGTGACTGTCAACGACCTCTATTTTATTGCATCTCTTTCGACGGAAGTACTAAACGTCTACCGTTGTTATGGTAACCGATCGTAAAAAATACTCCTTCTTCTTGTTGCATAAATGTCCCTGAATGAACCGAAAGTCGAGCGTGGATCCGATCACTCGACCTTAAATGCGGTTTTTCTCAATGCCAGCATCTTCTATGATAGCTTTCTGCTCAGTTTCACTCAAAAAAATAAATAAATAAATAAATAAATAAAGCCCACACATCAAAAAATATCTTCGTCTAAAAAAAAAAATAGAAGGGTGAGATATTATTAATTTCTAAACTTATAAATAATTTAAGCACTTACTTAGCTTAAGTTATTCATAGAATAGGGGGAGACATTATTCAATTTATAACTATAAAAATCCGTAATATAATTTTATGACTTAAAGTTAGTAAGATGAATACGTTTTTGCTTTCTATTTTCGAATTTTCAAATTTGCCTGGAAGTAACAACCAAAATGGGAAGACAGACCCAACCTTGTTTCTAGTCAAAGATGCAAACACACCCCTAAGGATATTTTCCCGCCCCTTTCCCAACTTTCATAGCAGGGAACGGTGAGACCCAAAAGACTTCCTCGAATTCTCGTCATCAGTGTAGACAGTAAAACCGACCCTGGGCGAAACAATAAAAATAAAAACACAATAGCCAACCTATAAATGTCCCTATACTCGTTAGGAGTGCCACGACCGCATGGGACTCCAACTTGTACTTTTTCTTAGTTAAGTAAACAATATAATAGTATAAAAATTCATTTATATTTTATATTGATTTGTATATGATAACCCATATGGTATTATAACTTCTATATATATATGTGTGTGTGTGTGTGTGTGTATATAATACTGGAAATAGGATAATCGATATCGTTACGCAGAAAGATTTATATTTAGTAGTCGTATGTATTAAATTACCTATTTAAAAAAGGAAGGCTAATGTTAGATAATATGAAGAATAATTATTCTTTCCAGTTACTACTATCTGGTGAATGGAACGTTTTACAAACTAGTGCAAAGGACCATCTGGACATACTGACAACAGATGTTGCTTTGCCCTCGGACAGCTTGCCATAAATTTCTATGTTTTTCGAAAAGTAGCCTTTTCACTACATTCCTAAAGTACAATATTTTGTCCTTGAAATTCTCGTTTAAATTTATTCTTTCTCATTTTAATAAATTATAATCGTGTGATAAAATATAACAACTATATATAAAGTAGTATATAGTATCTATATAATAAATAATCTTATATGATTTCTCACTATATACAAATATGTATTTCTCTAGTATAATAAAACCTTACTTTTCAACCGGTAGTTCGCGGTCCCCTATTAACCCGAAAGTTTTATTATTAAACGATCACAGGAGAAAGTTGTTGGAGAGGACAATCAGTCTTCGTATCGACTTTATATCAAGATACATATTTTATGTCCATCATTGATTATATTTTATTAAATATTTCTTGCCTAATCTACCTTTTAGTTAATCAGTTTTCTGTTGATGATATTTTCGGAAGGAGCCCACTGAGCATTTTATTAAAAATTACAAACTATACGGTAGCATTCTAATCATAGTAAGAAGCTATTAATTAATATTATTCTACTTTACACAATTTACAGTATTCTTAGTATATATACTAGTATATGTTTACTGCATTATATTCTTAAAATAGTATATGACTGACCCCCCACGCAGAGAACAGGGACACATGTCAAAGGGTCATTCTCTATTATGGATTCTTCGCTATGAGATCTAAATTAGTCAGGGGTAGGGCAATGTTAAGCATTTTTAAGGCTCCCGGCCGTATAGTTAAAGAACAAAGTTATTAGTAATGAGCCATGTTCAAATGAGGCCCTACTCAGGTGGCCCTCATTTATACCCGTATTCCCTACGGATATAAATAACAAAATTTACGTACTGTACGTATACAAACTATAACAAATGTACAGCCTATATATATATACACACGTCTTACAAGTTACGTTGTATGTAATGTTTAAGCTTCTGATAAGAGAATACAAATTTATACAAATACCGTGTTGTATTAATATGCATATAGATTATAGTATTTATACAGCAGTCATAAAAAAAATTTACATATATATTTTTTTACTAGTATAAAGCTAGAAAATAGAGGAGACATTCTCTCTAAACACTTGTTACTTGCGATAAATTAGTTTCTGTAGATACGCTTAATCTGTAAGGTTAACGACGTTAAAACTTCCAAAAACGGAGATTAGACACGACTTGATCTATAGTTATATTGTATATAATATTATTTATCAGTCTTTTACAAAGACCCGAAATCTGATAAGCATAAACATTTTCAACTTTGACCTTCCTTTATCTAATATAACCGAGACATTATGCCTGGAATTTTCGTACGTAAATGATCTTTTAACTGTGTTTGTGACTATAATATATAATATATTATGATATAAAAATTGAATAACTCAATTATTTACAGCTTATTTTATAATTAAAGCTTGAATAATTGGACTTTTGTCTAAACTGTCTTAGCGACAAATGATGACATAATGACAAGAAGTCAAGAAGTCGTGAGAACTTAACCAACGAGAGACCAGCTTAGAAAATGTCGTGGATTGAAATTACACACACACACACAGTCGTATAATAAAATATTATTTTTATGACTTATAATACTTAATTTAATTATATATTTTAGCTATTTATGTATATAAATATTAATTTATTCAGTTATGATTTCTCGAAAGATTAATTTTCTAGAATCTCATATTATATCCAACTCGTGTAAAATTTAATCGAAACTGGAGATTTCATTATGTAAATTATATAATCAGAATAGTGTAGAGATTAAGTTTCATAATTCTGTTTCGTCTTCCCCTCGTTTAAAATTCCCTACTGAAGGTAAATAACAGCATTAGATCCTACCAATAACGTGAATCAAGCAGTTTAGTTATATATATATATATATATATATAAGCCTTGTGTCGTACGTTTAATATGTGTAAAGTGATATTATAACAATAAAGACGAAAGGATTTAAGAATATTTATTCAGATAATAACCTATTAAAGGGATTTTACAATTGATAAATGACTATTTTATTAATCTAAAGCATTTAAAAAAAAAAAAAAATATGGTAATAAAATGTAAGCTTAAATATGTCTATTATTATTATTAATTTAAAGATTAAAGTCGGTTATTTTATTTATTAATTCTACTTGGCATTTGGAAATTTTAATAAGCTGCAACTTTGGTCATTAAAAGCGTCAATCAAGATCACGTGACTGGCAACACGTAACAAATCTCCCTCCCTTAATGCTTACAACTTTCGATTAGTTTTGAACAAGTTGGCAAACTACTGTAAGCTCTGTTAAGTTTGAAAAGCACGGAGTCGTGAAGTAGACTGGAGAAAGTCTTGATTGATGATCAGAAAGAATTACTATAAATGCGGCCATTTCAATATATTTATAACACACACACACACAGGCCGCAGCAATCAGGAGAAAGTACCAAAAGTTGAGTCAAAAATCGCCGTTTTTTTACTTGTTAAAACATATGCCAAACAGAGAGGTGGTTCCCTCCCCCTCCATTTTTTTAATTGTATAATTTAACAAGAGTATTTGTTAAATAAATTTACTGTACGAAAAGTTTAGCTGGCAACATTTGGTGATCATCAAATGGCTGCCATCCAAATGGTTGTTGGAGTAGAGGAGGTTATTACGCAGGCGCGATTTCGAGTCAATCTAAGAACCCCCCTCCCCCCAGGAAAATTATCTCGGAGGCTGGCGCCCATCATTCATGTCACCATCTGTTGTCAGTAGAAAAAAAAAAAAACCCAGCCAGCAAAAATTACACAGAGAGCCACATCTATTCGCAGTAGACAGAAATATGTAACTATGGATTTTCGAATTATTTTACAGTTCCGGGGATCAGTTCGTGTTTCCTACACTTAAAAAGAAAAAAACCTCTTCATCTTTCCTTTTTTTTTAAAAAATAATATTCAATCCTTAAAACGTTATTTTGTGATCTTCACTATGATTGAAAGCTTATAAACTTAATTTTCTACATATTTTTTAGGGGGTTATTTGAGTTTTTTTAAGCAAATTTTACCTCTGTTTATCCCCCTCTCATCCCTCCTTGTCGATATATCATATTTTAATCTAGATATTTTTCGATATGACATCGTTTGTTGAGGGAAGAACGATGACTTATTTGAAAAATGTCTCCATCAAAATATTGTATATCAAAAGAAAAAGTATCGAACCTTGATATATCAGGGGTAGATTTTAGAAAATTAATCCCTTATAAGGGTATTAAATTGATGGTATGCCTTTCGATTTACATATAGACGTTTGTATATCAAGTCAAACTATAATTAGAAAGTGATATATTGATTCATAACTCGAATATATCTCGCTGTATTTTGTGTACATAACAGCCGATTAAGAATATTTTTAGACGAAATTAGATTAGATTCTTCTATATTTAACTACATAAATATGTGTTTAATTCTGTTTAGAGGGTTCGAAATTGACCCGTTAGAAAGTTTAGAGGTCAAACTCTATCGGTTCGTTCATAAAATCCCAAAGTGTTTATAGGGAATTCTGGTAATTATTCAATCGCGCTTAATAGTAGTAATGTGCCGAAATGACGTCACCCGAGCCTCCCGGAGGATGGTGGGAGGAAAGACCACCACGGTAGAAGAGTGGAACGCCCGCATCCGGTGCTGACCGCGAACCGACGACCATTTCCTGCCGTGCCCTTCTTGGTCAAAAGGGGGAGCCTGCAGTTTGGAAAATCATGAAGTTTACAGGCAGATATCCTCGTGAGCCAAAACTACGGGTGGTTCATTAACGCGCTCCCTTACCAAAACTATTATTTTATACACCGACTCATCGTCTTCGAGGCTCGCGATGAGACCTTTCGTTATCTAATATATATATATATATATATATATATTTTTTCCACCTTCTGCCTCTTTGGTCCGGCGGTTAGATNAAAAAAAAAAAAGCGGCCGCGTATATGCAAATCTATTCTGTTCGCACGTATCAATAGCATTCTTGTATGAACTTTCACCTCTTGGACGAATCTCTTCGGTATAGTAATCATCGAGAAGACGAAATTTACCAATTTGTAATCATCCCATCGAGAGTGGTCAACCGCTTATTTAGTAATAAATTTTTACATTTGTAAGAGAACCGAAGCAGACAAGATGAAAGT